AGCTATGTATTTGAGAGATTTGTTCCAAAGCTGGCTGCTCTAGAACAATTGTGCTGACTGTCTCCCAGCTAAACTAGAACTTCTAAACTATCAGTGTTTAAGTGACTTTAACTATATGATATGAAAATGTTACAAAGTACCTTTTCAAGATAAGTGCTATTTTCGCTGAAAACAAAGTCGTCACTGGTTTTGTGCTTCGAACTGGAAGCTGACAGTTCGCATTCCGAATCAGTCAGAACCGCTGATAAGCTGAAATTTTTGTCAGAAAACATAATACAAGCGACAAGTGTTCAGCGAGAGTCTTCGACAAAGCGATAATTATGATGAGAGGCACAGGGAGTTTATCGAAATTTAGCTTTCAGAATGGACTGTCTTTCCAATTTGCAGTGCAAACTAGAGAGGCAAACCATTTCGATTGCTCCAAATACAGTGAGTAGAGGTGATGAGGAAATTGTACCTGTATATGAATAAAAGTCACTGGTTACTCAAACTAATAAAATTGACCGAATAATTACTGAGATTACTGGTGTTAAATTCGGGACCGACTAAAACGATTACACTCGATATGTGAATGCAGCTGTTTCAGTTTTATCCCACACTCAATGCCATATCAGGACGCTGTGCACAGCTCATTTCCGATTTGGAGCCTGTTCCAGGCCGCGCTGGTTGCATTCCGGCCAAATGCGAATTTCCAGATGCATGTTTCTCCCTTTCCTCTTTCACAGCCCTTTGCGCCTTCTGTAGTCGCCCAGCAATACTAGTTTCCAAAGCTGATAAACAAAAGGAGGCTGTGTTGAAACAAACTGGTTGCCCAGTAAAAAAGCCTGGAACTGAATTTGTCGCTCGTTCAATTGCCTTATTTCTTAATTTTTAACCATTAAAAAGTTTTTATAAGACGAACCATAATCAGACCAGGAACTTAAACAGGATACGCTGGCGCGAACCAAAAATTAGGTCAATCTGTCAGCTAGTCCATTTCTTTGTTTCAAAAAAAACCTGTTAAAAAGCATTTTTCCAATAATTTATCAGCGTTCCTTTTTCCTACCTAAAAATTTTATCTGGGTCGCTCTATCTTCCTGAGAAGGGTGTTTGAGTTCATGGAGCTGCTACTGGTTGCATTTGCATAATTGGAAAACTATCAAAAGAGCGAAAGTAAAGCACCAGACAAATTTCTCATTTTGATCGCAAGCCTTTGCGCATTCACCAAGATTCTTTGCTTCTACACGCTGCGTATCTGAAGGTAAATTTGCTCGTACATGGTTAAATAACAATGCGTAGCGTGTCAAATCGTTAGCTCCGCAACTTTTCTCGCTGCTCGTTCCAATTGCTTTGTGATACACAGCCTGAAAATGCAGATACACATGCTTTTAGTATATCTTGCGCAATTACAGGTAACAAATTTGTAGACATCAATTTGGTCCGAATTCGATTCCGTCAGGCAATGCCATTTAACTCGCATTAAAATGCAATTGCCGGAACTGACTTTTTCATATTTTATCAGTCATTTCTGAAAAAAATATAGTCTCGAGACAGTCGGAACGATTTTCCAGAAAGTTCAGCCTGCACATAGTGAAATAAGACTGATAACAACTACAGCAGCTAACTCAGCTTGGCACAGTTACGCTAGACGTTTGAATGCATCCCAGAAGCATTGAGAGCTTCACTCTAATGACGTAAACGTCTCTTTGGTGATAACTATTCTCAACTCTCCGTGTCTTCCCATGTTTCTATAGTTATGATCCCGAGCGTATTGCTGGCTTAGCTGAAGTTCCACAACGGTTAAAAGAAGTGTCTGACTAGATACCTTGTTATCTGAAGTTGAATCAGATTCAGCTTCGTTGCTTTCAATATTTCGTTTGCTTTGTGGTGACGCCGAGTACTTCGCCTCTTTGCTGCTCTCTACAGCTGGTTGTGTGCTATACGTAGTTCCTGAGGACTGAGTTTGCCGAACATCGGACGGTGGCCTCACATTCAGATACCTGCAAGCACCAGACACCAAGCAATTTCCAATATTCAGTTTTCAGCAGTCCTTAAAAATTCAGTCCCTTCGTGAGCTTTCCGTCTGGAGCGTAAATTTTGGAAATACAGTGCTTTTCTAAAAAAATGACTTTGCACCAAAATTTTGATGATTCATTGAATAAAGAACAAGAAGCTGGTAATTTCAATTAATTTTAAAGTAAGAAGAGTTATCTGGTTCTGGATTTGATTTCCATAAAATCAAAAACAAAGGTTAATCAAATGTTTTTTACGCCTCGTATTAGCAAAGCCCTGGAGCTGATTATAATAAAAATTTAACAGAATCCCATGACAAAAGTAAAAAAAAAAATTACTCAAGATAATCTCTTTCCGTGTATTCGATCAGGAAGTGCGATGGATTTGTTCCATTAACGGCGAACAAATCGCAGATCTTCCATCGATGATCATAAGTTAGAGATCGACACACCCAGTCGGAATTTGGATCCTGTTGGACAGTGCAAATATTTGTCTTTTTTGTTTAAGTTTAGATTTTCAAAGCAATCAGAAAAAGCGACAACATTTTAAAAAGTAAATAGAGCGGCATACCAGTTGTCTTACGCAGTTCCGCTTTTTTTTTCATAAAACTACGATGAGCATATGAAACTGTTAAGACATAAAAGAGAGATGCTATTTGATGATAGCTTTTCACTTGCCCATTACAAAAAACCATCCAAACACAGCTCGCTTCACTCACGACAGATAATTTTTGCATACTTTTGAGTTTTTAGCCCACTGATCAGAATCAAGAAAGACATCAGTCCAATTACAGCTCTTTGTCCTTCATTAAGTTATAAATGAAATTTGAAAGTTTGCAGCTTGCCGCATCTTGAAGTAATATAAAATAACCGGAACCTGAACCAGAATTCCGGAGCGTTGAGTCAGCAGACTAATTATTGGCCAAAAGAAACCTAGGATTTGGAACTTAGATAACTCCTTTAGTTCTGAAGTCAAAAAATCCGCACGAATATTATGTGTGCTTTAAATTACAGATCAAGAAGTTGACAGCCGATTTCAATCCTTTTATCACAGATCAAGAAGCAGTAAGCTGATTTTAGGGCACTTGATTTACACTGCACAATTGATTGAACATTTTAGATTTCGAATTCGTGCTTTATCTACTTTCAAGTTATAAAATGAGCTCAAATTTAGAACTGAATCAAAGAAGGCGCAAAAGTAGATCTAAACCGTTTTCAGTTTCATGTCAGTTTGGGAGCGTGTGTTTAAAATGTCAAAGATTATGTCTTTAAAATTTCAGCTTCCAAGTTTTTGTTATTCGGATGGACTCTGCATACAAAATGAAACTCAGTCATAATTTACTCATAGAGCATTTTCTTACACGGACCGGTGCAAATTAAGACTAAAAAGCAGGAAGGAAAAAAAAAA